TAAAATGTTGTAGTAGTTAAGGTGAAAATAAATTCCCTAGATCAGTGATTCTCAGTTTTCTCTGCTCCTCAGAACCCCCTGGGGCTGGAGGATGGGGAGCTTTTAAAAGTTACAGCTCCCAGGTCCTGGCCCCTAACTAGCTAAAACAGGAAGTGGGATCCTGGCATTGTTCTTTTTAAAACAGCTCCCTAGGTGGGGGCGCCTGGGGCGCTCTGCCTTTGGCTCCGGGTCAAGATGCCATGTCGGATGCCCGGGGTCCTGTTGGGAATTTGGTTCTCCCTGTATCCCTCCCCCTACTCCTGTTTTCTCTTTCTCTCAAATAAATAAATAAAATCCTAAAATAAAAATAAATAAATAAATAAATAAATAAATAAATAAATAAATAAATACGAAAGCTCCCCAGGTAACTCTAATTTGTGGCCAAGGTTAGAACACCAGTCTGGATAGTTCAAGGTCAAACAGTAATGAACAAATTAATAAAGAACAAACCAACCAGTAAATCCACCCCTACGTGTGTGTTGCAATGATCACTACTTGTCACTTGGGTTAAAACCACCAGTGCATTTGGTCGCCGGTAGCTTTAAATTCAAACATTTGTAGGTTGCAGTTACGCTCTTCTGGAATCTTCTTAACAGACTTTTCAGGTCTCAGCTCCCTACATACAACCCTGTTCAAGTCTTGTCAACTCAGAGCCTTCGAACGCTTCCTACACTTTTATTCCTCTGCGTTTTTAGCTTGCTGCTTTCTTCCTCATACGTCAACCACTTGGCAGAGGGCTATTTACCCATCAGAGGCCAGCTTAGGAGTCACTACCTCTGTGACACTGGAGTAATCATAATACAGTTCTTTTATATAATGCTGATTTGTATAAATTCAAATTGCTTAAATGTTCTCCCAAAGAGACAAAGTCATTTCTTCTGGTGACAAGTACACGGTTAATAACACCTCCTCAAAGTCCAGTCCCTGCGTATCTATCATGTTGCTGCTTAGTTACTCCAGTACCAACAATTGCTTAGGTCTATCATCCCAGAAGGAGGCATTTGGCTTAGGTTTATGAATTATTTCCTAACACAGACATTTGGGTCCTGTCCTGTAACAGTTGCAAATTCCAACGTCTTATTCCGATTCCTTGGATCATTTTAGGGAGGACCATCATGTGTGATTATTTTTTTTTCTGTTTAAAATTGGACCATCCAGCCTCTAAGCAAATTAGATATTGAAAATACTAGGACCTCTATATTCTTTTGATCTGTTGAATTTTCACATTTGGAGTATGAGTTTCATATAGGAAGTAAGCGGGTATAATTTCTTTTTCCTTACTCCTTCAGCTTTGACGCCATAGGAAGCCAGCTTGCTAAGTCCCTGATACCTGATATTTCCCTGACTGCAAAGACTTTCTGATGAGGATCAGCATTTTCCCCAAGACAGGGCTGTGAGTTCTCTTCTTCCTAAAGATACCCATGTCCCTTAAAAGAGTCCAGAATATTTCATCCACAACTGCCTCACTCATCTGAGCACTTATTAGAGCCACTATCAGAAAGGCCGGGGGTGGGGGGAAGAAATGTGCCATTCCTGCAAAGCAAAAAACAAATGCACCCTCAAATGGGCCACAAACTTGAACATCAGCAAGATTACAGACTGGGGGTGGGGTGGGGGCGCAAAGTAAATAAAGTTTTAATTTTTTTAAAATAAAGTTTCAAAAAAAATTTGGTCTCAAAAATAATTGCTTATCGTTTAGTTCCCTGGCTTCAGTTTCCCAACTTTCTCAACTGCTGGAATTTTGTGGTAGACAAGTAGTTGTGTTAATACATTCTGAATTTGCTTTTTTTTTTTTTAAATTAGCAGGGCTGTTGGTCTGTCGGGGTGGTCTGTCACGGAGTCTGTCTTCACGCAGGTTGCAGCTTACACCTGGTTGCAAATAGAGGAGTTCCTTTCCCAGCACAGGTAGGAAAATTTTCTGGAAGCGAGGAATGGGACCCAGCTTTTAGGCAAGAGCTCATTGCCTCCAGGTAATTCCAGGCCCAGGTGCGCGTTCCTTTTCCCTGCAGTCGTTATCCATCTTGACCCCAGGGTCTCCATCCCACTCCATCCCGGGCCGAGCTGCCGGCGGTACCCCCGCTGCGTGCGGACTTCAGGCCCACCACTGGAGGGCGTCTGGACGCTTCCAAACCATTCCGAAGCGCCTGGAAAGTCTGCGCTGGAAAAACCGTAAAGCACAGGAGGGAGAACGTGATATTGGATTTTATTGGGCTAATGAGTAAAAGGGGGAAAACAGGAAGGTTTGGGAGGCAAACTAAACCGCCTGCCTCCTTGGGATCAGCCCTGCCCAGCGAGGCCGGCGGGAAGCATCCCTCGGGGGCTCAGGTCTCCAAGGCCTCGGTGCCCCCCCCCGCGCCCCAGGGCACCGCAGGGCGGGGCGGGGCGGGATGGGGGGTCGCTGCCCGGAGGCCGTGCTTCGCGGCCGGAGCTCTGGAGGCCTGTCCTGATGCTAAAGGGACTCGTGCTGCAGGGACCCCACTTCTCCGCGCACCCGGTTCTTGCAAGCATTCATCCTGGAGGAGGAGGGGGAGCGGCAAACCAGCCTGGGGGGTGACCTGTCAAAGGTGTACGGTGTTCACCTGGGGCTGCCAGCTGCATTCATTTCCTTCCCGCTCGAGGAGCGCACCGATTTGTGATCACTTTACACTGTGCTTTCCTCAATTGCGCGCGCACACACACACCACACACACACACACACACACACACACACACCGTGTGTGTTTCACAGCATCACTTTAAAGGAAGTCAGCAGCCTTGAGGTCCCTGGTGGGAAGAGGCGCAGGAGGGCCGCCCAGGTCTCCAGGATGACCCAGCGCCCCGCACTGGGCGCGCTTTGCAGGAACGCGGCCACCGAGGCTCCCCGCCAGCCTGTCTCTGGGGGGGGGGGGTGGACAGGTGAGGGGGGGGCTTGGAGACACCTGCGGGGCCCGGCCTGCCGCTTCCACGATGGGAACGGGCTGCTGTGTCACCCAAAGCCCCGACTGGCGCGTCCACGGGCGTCCAACCAGGCCCGGGCCCAGCGCCCAGCCGAGGCTCAGCATCCAAAGGGTTACGCGCGGCCGCCCGGGCACTCCCAGTAATTCAATTAGTCAGGTTTCTGGAAGGTGGGGCCGGGCAGGGGGGCGGGAGGCGTGGGGAAGGGAGGAGATTAAGAAAACGCCTCTCTCTCGTGGAACAAGCCAATCCCGTTGGAGTGAAGAGCGAGAGAGGAAAAAAAAAAAAAAAAAAACCCGACCTGTAAGCAAACAGCAGGCCGCTCGCGCACCCCCCCCCCCCCCAGCAAACTGCACCGGGAGGGAAGGGGCGGGAGGAGCGAGAAAGAAAAAAAAAAAAGCAGCCACATGACCCGGGCCGCGGCGGCCGCAGCGCGGGCTGGGCGCCTCCCCCCGCGGGGTCCCGCGCTCCCCCCGCGCCCCCCGGCCGCGCCGCCCACGTCCACGGTCACGCGCGCGGCCCTGCGCTCCGGGGCGGCGGCGGCGGCGGCTGGGTCGCCGCTGCTGTCCGCGTTCCACGCAGGTCATTAACGAGGGGGCGTGCCCGCGGAGGTTTTTTTTTTTTTTCCCATAAAGCATTTTTTCTCTCTCTCTCTCCCTTTTTTTTTTTTTTTTTTTGCCTCCCTCTTTTGCAAAACTGACTTTTACCTCTTTGCACTTCTCGCCAGTCATTTCCATCCTCTCCGGGCTGCTCGTGCTGCTGCTGCCGCCGCCGCTGCTGCTCAAGTTTATTTTCCCGCCCGGTAGAGGTTTGAGGATTCGGTTGGTGCTTTTCACCTCTTGTTGCTGCTGAGCCCGAGGAGGGAAAAGAGGAGCAGCTGCTGCAGGAGGATCGAGAAGGTTTTCTGATGTAGTCATCGGGGAGGTGCCACTCGCTCCTGAGCTCTCGCTCTTTTTTTATTTTATTTTATTTTATTATTATTTTTTTCCTCTTTCCCGTTTCAAACTGATTGATGCATCTCTACAAGTTGCCAGGCTTGCGTCCGGACCCGTCGGAGTCGCAGGGACACTTGTGAGCGCTCGCCCCAGGCCCTTGGCACGGCGTCTGGGGGGCTCGGTCTTGCTCCACGGGGGAGGCGACCGGAGACTGACCTCAATCAGCCCGTCCCGGAGTTGGAGGCGTTCGTCTAAAAGTGGTTGCTTTCCCCCTTCCCGCTCTGCAGCCCTAACAGTCGGGTCGGCGGCGTCCTGCAGGGCTGGGCGCCCCAGCTCCGCCTCGCCGGCGGGCTCGTAACCTCCGCTCCTCGTGCGCCCCGCCGCGCCCGCACCCGCGCCCGCACCCGCACCCGGCCCGGGAGGGCGCGCGCCAGGAGTCCCCGAGGCCCCCCGCCAGCGCCCGGGGACCCGCCGGAAGACGCGGACAGCCAAACTTTTCTTTGAGGTTTGCAAAGGCAGGACCGCTCCTCGCCGGCCGCGCGCGCAGCTCCGGGACGCCGGCGGGGCCGGGCTTGTGGCTGCGGATCCCCGGCCTCCGCGGCGCGCCCGCGGCACCGACGAGCCCTCCGGGGCTTGCAGCGGGGGCTCCCGGCGAAGGCTCGGACCAGGCGGGGGGGCACGGGGGTGCCCGCACGCCGCCCCCCGCCCCCGCTCCGGCCCCACCCCCACCCCCACCCCGCGGGGCCGCCGTCCGCATCCACGCGGAGCCCGCCCCCTGCAGTTTCGCTCCGGCCGCCAAAGTAACTTGCGGCGAAGCGGGGCGCGCGGCGAGGGCCCCGGGCGGCGGCGGCGGCGGCGGCGGCGGAGGCGGCGGAGGAGGAGCCGAGCGCATCCCGCGGCGCCGCCGCTGAGCCGGGCCCGGCGGGCCGGTGCATGTCTCCCCGCGGCCGCGGCGCGCAACTCCCGGTGACCGTGCAGCGCGCGCCGCCGCCCGCCCCAACCCGCCGGCCCGGCGCGCGCCCCCTCCTCCCGGGGTGACCGGCCTGCCGCCGCCGCGCGAGCCCCGGCTCGGCACCCCTTCCCCTTCCCCGCCCTCGCCTCGCCGCCGCACACACGCATGCTTCTCCATCTTGTGATCCCTTTTTTTTTTTAATTTAAAAAAATTTTTTTTTTAATTTTCCTCCGGAACCCTCCAGTGGGGGAGCGAGTTAGTCTTCGCGCCCCCCCTCGCCGCGCGCCACCGTCTCCCCAGCTCGGCGTGCGCCTCTTTTCTCTTGTCGCCACTCTTCATTCTTATTTATTCGTATTTATTGGGCTCCTGCCCTCCTCCTCCTCCTCCTCCTGCCGCCGCGGCTCCCCCGCCCTCCCCCTCCTCCCGCCCTCCGGATCCCTGCGCTCTCTCCCCGGAGCGGCCGGTCCGGGGGCTCCGCCGCTGGCCGGGCGTGATGTTGCACGTGGAGATGTTGACGCTGGTGTTCCTGGTGCTCTGGATGTGCGCGTTGAGCCAGGACCCGGGCTCCAAGGCCGTCGCCGACCGCTACGCCGTCTACTGGAACAGCAGCAACCCCAGGTAAGGCGGCTGGCGGCGCGCAGGGCCGGGCTCCTCGGGCCGCCTGGGGACCCGCGCGCGCCCTGCGAGCTGCGGCGCCGGGACGCGGGGGGCCCCCGGGGCGCCCGCGGGAAGCTCTCGGGTCGCGCCTCTCTTTCTTTGTTCAGCCGCGTCCGAGGGGCCGGGGATCCCCGGGAGCGCCCCCGGGGCGCCGGGGACTCGAGGCTCCTGCGCCGCCTCGCCCTGGGCGAGCCGGCCCGCATCCCGCATCCCGCTCCCGGCTCCCCGCTCCCGGCGTGGCGCCTCCGAGCGTTCCCGCCTGCAGCCTGGGGGGCGCGGCGGCTGCGGGGAGGACCCGCCAAACATGCCCAAAGTTCCTTTCCCCCCTTTATTATTTTTTTTTAAATTTTCTTTCCCGTTGGATTTTTCTTCCCCCTTTGGGCGCGCTCCGAGAGCGCACGGGCTGGGGCAGCGGAAGCTTTCGGCTTTTGCAAGCAGCCGAGCTCCGGGGGCTCCGGGCGCCTGGCGGCGGAGGGGGTCCTCGCGCCCCCCCCGTGACCCGCCACCTCTCCACCCCCCACCTCCGCACCCCGCGGGCTCGGGGTGCAACAAAGTTTGCTCCAGTGCCGGTTGCGTCATGTGTGCAGAGCGAGCTGCCGGAGTTGGCGGCGGAGGGAGCTCGAGGTGGGCGGTGGGCGGCGGGCGGGCGGGCGGCCGCGGGAAGGCGCGCGGTCACCCCGGCCCCGCGGGGAGGGAGGGGGCGCGGGAGGCCGGAGCTGGGGCCCCCCGGGTCGGGGCTGCTGGAAGGGCAGCGCGCCGGCGAGCCCCCCGCGGGTGCACAGCAGCTCCGAGAGCCCTCCGCGCCCCGCCCGAGGGCAGCCCCGGCCTCCCCGGGCCCGCGGCCAGCTGCCAGGTGCGCGCTGCGTCCGGCGCCTGCCCCGGGGCGCGGGGGGTGGGGGGGCACCTGGCCTCGGGGCGCCCTCCGCTGCAGGGAAGTGGGGAGCCGGGGGCCTGGGGCAGGCCGTGCCCTCCCGCCTCCCTCCTGGCCCCCGAGATCCGGGCTTGGGAGGCATCTCCCGCTTGGAGGAGGGAGGCCCTGCAGCCCCCACCCCGCCCTGCTGCTCCGGGAGAGGAGGGCCGCCCGGGCATCCCAAGCCCGAAACTGCACCGCCTGCCAGAAGGACAGACAGCCCTGAAAGTTTGGATCTTAAAAAAACAAAGTCTCCGGGAGGTGGGTGGTGGGATGATGGGAAGCTATTTCTCCTTTGACATGCCACTTACCACTCTTAGGCAAAGAAAGAGAAGCCATCCTGCCAGAGGAGATGCCTTTTATTAAAGCTGACAAGACAAATAGAGCAAGCTTTCCAGTTGTGATGGTGTTAAAAGCAAGTCTCATTATGTTGGTTGGTTTTATTCCCCCCTGGGCTTTATTAAACAGCATCTACGAAATAGAGGAATTTCTATTTCTGAACTTTAGCGCCCTATTAAATAAAACAGCAGCGAAAACCGGTTAGGGGAATGTGGGGCATTTTGTGCTCGGTTTGTCTTCTCTTTCCCACTCCAAACTTCCCAGGGTGATCTTTTTGCTCATGCTTTTCATGTATCTGGATACTTGGGTGTTCCAGTCGTCCTGGGTTAAAACAGAAAGAATCCGCGACACCCCCACGTCCCCCTCCTTCCTAACCTGTCAAGCTAGTCTGAGTTAGTCTGAGGACATTTTATCTTAGGTTATCTCTGTTTTATGCTTTTGATACTGTTGTTTGGCTTGAGATTAGCACATTGATTTTTGTCACAGGTCATGTTTTTTAATAGATCTGCCCTGCCTGTAGAAAACTCTGCTCAGGATGCCATGGTGGCTTTGAACCTGCCCAGACAAAGTTAATCTGTAGAATTTCAAAATACCAAAGGGTATTTTCGAGTCCGTCCTCCAATTCCAGGCTTGTGGAAATACCTTTTTATTTGATCATTATCATTTTGATAACGTTCAAAAGAAAGGATGATGTACCCCTCTCCCAAGAGACCCAGCTCTAACTTTAGTATTCTTAGGGCTTTGTGGGCACGTTTATCATCATACGTTGTCTTGATAAAACTTACTTTAAGAGATAACGTAATTGAAAAGGTAGGGACCGGTAGGCGGATTTATCTCTGAAATGGTGAATAAGATGTGGGTTTTTTTTTTTTTATTGTGTTAAGAAAATTCAGCTTGGATGTAATTTAAAAAGAGGCAATGCAAAATAACTAATTTACAAATAAACACAGTTTATTTCAAAAGATGGTGAAGAAACATTTTAGAGAATTTTCAAGGGTTTACCAATTTTGTAAATTCTGTGTTTTACATTTTGTTTTCAATGTAATCATTTTGTACAGTAATCTAAGCATGCCTTCTGATTTTATAGAAGTCCTGTTTTTTTTTTTTTTTTTTTTTTTTTTTTTTTAGGACTTGGTAAACTAATAAGATCAGAAGACTTAGTCTTTTGGAAGAAAGTTGAAAACTTTTGTTGCAACTTAAACAGATTAAAATTTTTTTTTCCTTAGAAAAGTTCAGTAGACAAGCTGCTAATAAGGGCTTCTGTTGCGAAATGAAGTAAATATATTTTAGCTTATACCAAGGGAGTTGAAATTGAAATCGTGTTTAAATGCAATTAGAATTATTACATCTTGATCACAGGGTTTAAGTATCTTATATTGTAACTTATGTAGTCCTAGGAGTTTATGTTTTCATTGCTGACTCTCCATTATGCCATTAGCATCCATAGATCTAGATGAACAGAAGAAAAAAATATTAAATTTATATGCTACCAGATAGAATCTATCGTCCTGGGCATTCGTTTCTGGAAAGGGGATGTTCAATTTTCAAATGCTGATAACTTTTTAGCTGCTAGTATTTACTGGGTGGTGGGCCCCAAACCAACTTTTATGTTTTGAATTGGCACAGATCTCTGAAATAGCAACCGAGAACGATCGATCTGAATAGAAGTATGTGATAAAATTTGCCAAAATGCATCTTCCATATTTTAAGGATTTGGGAAGTTGTCTGGATTTCACCTGAGTAACAGAGTGATCCTTTTCATGTTCTGAAGGCTGATTCTGAACCAGCATGTTACTAAGTAACTTTGAGTAATGAATATCTAAATCAAGGAGAATATAGCTATTTGTCTTTAATTTCTTTTAAGAATGTAAAAAAGCTTTTAAGTAACTTTTAAAGAGACTTTCAGTAATAAAACTTTACATCCTCCCATAGCAGCTACGCTTATAAAGATAGAGATGACTCAATATAAGAACATGCCTCTCTCCATCTGAAGCCTCCTATAAACAGTTTGGTGCCTCCACTGAGAATACTCTTTTAGATATTGTGTGTATATATTGAAGAATTTCTTGGTTTCTTTTGACCAGTTGCCAAAATGATGCTAGGATAATTAAACGTGTCTCCTACTAGTTGGCATTAATGGGTGGAACAGTAAGATAATACAGTGGCAAATATTATCAGCGTACTTTAAGAATACTGATTCTCCTCACTTAACGCTTTGCTTCTGTTAGGTTCTGAGTATCAGCAATTTAAAGTGTTATGCTCTGATGGGGGAAAAAAAAAAGCTCTATAATTCACCTGGGGTATACTAAATTTTAACCTAATCATGTTTTCTTTGGACTTTGAAAATTCTTGTAGGGACTTGTAAATTAAACATTTCATCTTCCAGTAGCACATAATTGACATCATTTAGTTTTGTTAACATGTAATCTTGGAGTTGTGAAAGTGATACGAATTCTAGGTCAGTACTCCTAACCCTTTCTGGCTTACAGATCATATATATGTGCCTAAGTAGAGAGAAGTAGTAACTTTTTTTTTCTTTCTCTTGATCATAATCCCTTTGGTGTTTATTTTTTTCCTTTCAAAGTAAATTTGTTTGATTTTTAAAAATCTGAGTCATCAGAGTTTTATTGTATGCATACTAGTATTCCAGCCCTGTGCCTTTTCCACTGACAAATAAATGAAATCGGTTTGATTTAAATCTAAGAATATGTTCTGAGGAAAGATGGAAAATTGATCCTGGGTTTGAATGCATTTTATCACCGGACTTATACAGGATTAACTTTATTTTTGAAATTTTAAATGTTTCAAATACTGTTTGTTAAAAACAAAGTCCTTCAAGTAGAAAGCATTATCTAGAATTTTTTAACTTTATTAACTCTGAGCCTCCATGTAATGTATTAGATGTAATTAGGTGATTTTGTCATTTTGATCTTTATATCAGAATTTATGTAGACATCCGGATAAAAATAAAGCAGTATGACAGGGATTTTTATCTCCTCTCTTTTCCCCTGATCTATCTGTGGGAGACCTGAAGTGAATCCTTCCCCTTCCTCTTTTTGTTTTTTTTTTTTTTTTGTTTTGTTTTTTGTTTTTTTTTTGTGTGTGTGTGTGTGTGTGTATGTGTGTGTTTCTTTTACTTTACAGGTCCGGATAAGAAAAATACGCTTCTTGTTTTTGTCCACTTTTCCGTGAAAGTTTGAAAAGAAGAGTTAGCTACCGAGGTGTTTGTTCCATCCATTTTATGCGTCATATATTCATAATAAGCTTTCAGAAATAGTCAACTGTCTTTTTTTTTTTTTTTTTTTTAGATGACTGGGACATCAGTGCTATTTGAGGCACACTTGGCTGTACAGTCTAATTTGGCATTTCCAGCATGAGACCAAGGTCAATAAACTCCCTGTGATTAAAAGAATCAGAGGGCGCCTTCAGTTGTTCATTACTGCCTGTTAGTTGATTTTAGTGGTGTTAACCAAGCCATTGGCTCACTGAAGGAATATCTTGTTGCCATGTGTGTTGTGGCTGATAATCAATAGCTGTAGAGGCTTCCACCTTTGAAGGCTGAGGATCAGGTTTGGAAGGAGCACTTACTTATTTGGGGGCAAATTAACCTTGTGAATTTCTTGCCATTTAATCTTGCAAGATGCCTCCTGAGCAGGCCTTGCATTGCATTCTGTCCACTGGCCTGATTTCCTGTTGGATAGGGACAGATAAA